AACTAACCACCCACTATTGCACACACACATATCAGGGACACGAGTTCCTACATCCAGCAAGTCTCCTTCCATTCAAGTGGCACCGCCATTGGTGAGACTGCTTTCCTGGTTCTAATTCTTATCCACGTGCACTTTGAAAATAAAACTTGCTGGGTGCAGCAGAGAAGTGTACCTCAGGTTTTAATTCATTAAGAAAGTCTGGAAACGTGATTGAAGAGATTCAACAGTGAGCCAGTGAGGTCCCATGTAGAGATGTGAAGGCCCAGAAAAAAACCGGAAAAACTCGGTGGAAAAAACGTTTTTCCCCCGGTTTTTTCTTGAAGCCTTTTTTGGTTTTTTCCCGAAAAATTGGAAAAATTGAAAAAAGAAAAGGGGAAAAAGTGATTATGGAATGTTTTATTTTAACATGATGAATAAAATATTTTAAGACAAGGTGTTCAAATATTTTCCAAATCATTTCTAATATATATATATATATGGTATCAGATTGATCTAATTTCTGTGCACTGAGGACAAGCAAGTCCTAGGTTACAAACTGAACTCTCCAATGCAAGAACGCATTTCTTCCTTTAGGAGGTGCTATTGTCACAAGAAAAGAAAGAGGTTTCAGTTTTGTTTTTGCATGTGGGTGGGTATCCTGTTTGTAATAATTGTTTGGATGCACTATATTTTTAATAGGCTAGTTGTGATCATTTCATGCCAAGTAAAAATGTCCATAGTCATATTTTATGTTCCTAAACTAACAGAATTACTTTCAATCTGGAAAAGACAAAAGAAATGCTAATGTAGCATTTTTTTCCAATTTTTTCGAAAATTTCCGTTTCCTCCCGAAAAAAAACTGGAAAAAAGCCGGGGGGTTTTCCGAGCTTCAAAATTTCCCCAAAACAACAGGGACACACAAGTGATGAAAATGCGAATGCAGAAGAGCCCCTACTGGAAAGAGCAAGAAAATCTCAAGAGACCCAGACAGAAAAGATTAGAAAGCCAATGTTATTTAGGTCAGTAAGCAACACTATCACTGGAGCATCAGCACATTTGCCTACAACCAGGCACACTGGTGCCTCCAGCCAAAGCACTCTGATCAGCCCTTCCCTATGCTTTGAAACGTAATTCAACAAAGCCTTGGCTTAAGCCACTGCCGCCTCCTTCGCTATTCCTTTGTTGTGTGCAACGCTGACCCCACAACTGGGGCGACATACAGAGTAAGCTGGCAACACACAGCAGGTGAGTTCTAGATAGGCTTTGGCTGCAAGTGCCCAATGCGCTCTGCTCCAGGGTAACTGCAATGCCAAAACTTCTAGGGTTTGCTGGTTTCTCCTCCCGGATGGGTTTACCATATCACTTTAATGTACCTATCAGATAAGCCTAAAAACCACAAATAGATTTAAGAACTGTTTCAGAGAGTTGAAGGCCATCCATCTTAGCCCCAGAAAGGTATTCGTCTGGAAAGAGTAACTCCTCCTCAGGGTGGCACTGGAACATTAATAACCGTGGTACAGTCTTGACACACTGAGGAAGGCCGTTCCACAAGACAGGAACCACCTGTCCCTTCCTGACTCCCCCCCCCCGCCAACCTCGGGTTCTGGGGGAGACCCTCTGTCCATCAGGGACGGCCAGGACAAAGAAGAGGCCGACAAGTCCCACATGGAGGCAGCTGGGGAGAGGTCCCAGGTACACCCACCTTCCGGCGTCAACCCACGAATGAGCCATTATGAGGATTCCCCGAGGGACCCGGGATCCTCCCTTCCTGTCCTGCCCGGGGCTCTTCCACTAGAGTTAGCTGTAACCCGATGGCTCGGTTGCTTTAAGACCTGGGCGGCGGGGCGGGCCAGGGGGGAAGGGAGACAATAAAGAACGGAAAGGCGATAACCAGAGAGGATTGCCAGTACCCTATGAGTCGGGGAGCAAGGAGGGAGCTGCGGGCGGCAGCCCTATCCACTCGTACGCACTCAAAGAGGGGAAAGGCTTCCGAGATGAGAGGTGCACAGTAACCTTCTCTATGGGGTGGAGAGGAGGAGGAGGAGGAGGAGACTGGATTTCTACCCCGCCCTTCACTACCCAAGGGAGTCTCAGAGCGGCTTCCAAACTCCTTTCCCTTCCCCTCCCCACAACAGAGACCCTGTGAGGTAAAAGAAGAAGAGGAGACTGGATTTCTACCCCGCCCTTCACTACCCAAAGGTGTCTCAGAGCGGCTTCCAAATTCCTTTCCCTTCCCCTCCCCACCACAGACACCCTGTGAGGTAAAAGAAGAAGAGGAGACTGGATTTCTACCCCGCCCTTCACTACCCAAAGGTGTCTCAGAGCGGCTTCCAAATTCCTTTCCCTTCCCCTCCCCACCACAGACACCCTGTGAGGTAAAAGAAGAAGAGGAGATTGGATTTGTACCCCGCCCTTCACTACCCAAAGGTGTCTCAGAGCGGCTTACAAACTCCTTTCCCTTCCCCTCCCCACAACAGACACCCTGTGAGGGAGGTGGGGCTGAGAGAGCTCTGAGAGAAACTGCTCTTTTTCAAGAACATCTCTGACAGAACTACAGCTTGCCCAAGGTCATTCAGCAGGTACAAGTGGAGGAGTGGGGAATCAAACCCGGTTCTCCCAGATTAGAGTCCGCGCACTGAACCGCGACACCAAACTGGGGTGTCTGAGGTGCCGCCTTGCTACATTCGACTTTCCCCTCAACCTGGAACCTCCCCGCCGCCCCAACCCGCACCAGGTGCAGCGACGTTCTGACACCACCGCAGAAGACGCTCTGGTTCAGCCAGTGGATGAGCAGATCTGCTAAACGTTGGCCCCTGAAGCAGGCTTCGGAAGAGAGAAATGGAGCTGCCGTACTGGAGCATACTGGGAGCGGAGTCTGGGTCTCGCAGATACCAGCATCCCAGGCCTTGAAGGGCCTTATCAGGCAACAACAGCCCCAGTTGTTGGTAGAGCCAGTATGATGTCACTGGGGCAGCTGAATATCAAGGTTGCTTTTAAGAACACTGGAATTCTGAAGTCAGCGAACAACTGTGGTTAAATTCAGCCAGCACGGTGTCGTCATTAGAATGTTGGACTGGGATGTGGGAGAGGCGGAGGTTCGAACGCCCACAGTCTGCCGTGGAAGCCTGCGGCACGACCTTGGGCTCGTCGTACACACTCATGGACACATGAAACTGCCCGACACTGAATCAGACCCTCGGCCCATCGAGTTCAGCACTACCTACTCAGACTGGCAGGGGCTCTCCAGGATACCTGGTCTGTTCACCTGGAGATGCCAGGAACGAAACCTGGGGCCTTCTGCAAAGCAAGCCCGTTCTCCACCACAGAGCCACGGCTTCTCAGCCTGACCTACCTTGCAGGGTTGCTGCGAGGGTAAAAGGGAGGAGAGGGAAATGACGTAAGCCGTTCTCCCCCCACTGGGGAGAAAGGTGGAGCATAAATGAAGCCAGTCAATGAATAATAAACCATGTGGCCGTCGCCCTCACGTCCACTGACTTTCAAATGTCACCTCATTGGGATAACAGGCAAAACCAGGAACACACAGTGTGGCAGGATTAGAAGTCACAAAGTAACACCATGTACAATATGTACTGCTTGCTAATTACACCAGTTTGGTGTAGTGGTTGGATGACCTTGGGCAAGCTGTAGTTCTGACAAGAGCTGTTCTTGGAAAAAGAGCAGTATCTGTCAAGAGCTCTCTCAGCCCCACCTACCCCACCTTGTGGGGAGGGGAAGGGAAAGGAGTTTGTAAGCTGCTCTGAGACACCTTTGGGTAGTGAAGGGCGGGGTATAAATCCAATCTCTTCTTCTTCTTGGTTACTCATAAACTCATTGGGATAAAGTGGTTGGGGGCAGTGTTCCCTCTAAGCTGATTTAGAGTGAGCTAGCTCTCAGTTTTTTAGCCTGCGACTCACACATTTTTGTCTTGGCTCAGGAAGGAGGGCTCCAGAGCAAACTAGTGTATGCAGTAGCCAAATCGCTTGCTCACAACTTTAATGCCAGTAGCTCACAAAGCTGAATTTTTGCTCACAGGACTCCACAGATTAGAGGGAACATTGGTTGGGGGGTGTTTTGGATCCAGGTTTTGGGGGCACAGAGTGCATTGGGACCAGTGTTCCCTCTAACCTGAGTTAGTGTGAGCTAGCTCACAGTTTTTTAGCCTCCGGCTCACACACTTTTGTCTCCGCTCAGGAAGGATGGCTCCAGAGCAAACTAATTTATGCAGTAGCCAAATAGCTCGCTCACAACTTTAATGCTCACAAAGTAGAATTTTTGCTCACAAGACTCTACAGCTTAGAGGGAACATTGATTGGGACCCCCCCCCTTATGCTCCTCCCCCACTACAACTGATCTCCAGACAAGAGGGATCCGTAAGCAGTCAATATTGTACATGGTGTGTGTGGAGCAGTGACAGCACAAGGGGGCTGCCATTTGTATGCCTCTCCCTGGGTAGGAGAAAGGTGAGCGAGCGGGAGGCAGACGAAGCACGCGATGCTCTGTCTTCTTGGTGCTTGGGGGGGGGCAACAGTGGGAGGTCTTCTAGTGTCCTGGCCCCACTGCTGGACCTCCTGATGGCACCTGGTGTTTTTGGCCACTGTGTGTTGGACTGGATGGGCCATTGGCCTGGTCCAACACTGGCTTCTCTTATGTTCTTATGTGGTGGGGGATACAAGCATGGATGTCTTCAAGAGGGAATTGGATCAACATATGGAGCAGAGGTCCATCAGTGGCTATTAGCCACAAGGTATAGATAGGAACTCCCAGTCTGGGGCAATTTTTCAAGGAAAGCCTCTGGTTGCAAGCAGACGGCCGCTGCTGCCTACGGCAGGAGACAGTAGAGCACAGCAGCAGGGAGAAGGAAATTTAGTGCAAGAGACTCACGGTGGTGAGCAACGTGCGGAGCTCCTCGGGGCCCAGGGTTTCATAATTGACTCCGGCAGAGTTGTTGTACTACAGAGGAGAACAGAGAGAGAGAGAGAGTGAGAGAGAGACTTTAGGGTGTGCGTAACGGATAGCCAGTGTTCTCCATCTCCAAGCACAGCAGGCGACCCAGACTGGGCAGGTGCCCCAGGGCCCTTTGTTCATTTATCTTTGAGAGTCCTATCCTGCCCTGCCCCACAAGCAGGCCCAGGGCAGCTCACATCGATCAAACCATCTTATTTAACATCAGTACAATCAAAACATCAGTTGATAGAAAATAACGTTATGTTACCATCTTGTTACCTCTCTGTTACCAGCTGTACCCTGGGGTCTTCAGTTTTCGAGGACAGAACGATAGCCACCTTCGTTTACCCAAGGGAGGGTATTCATAGTCTGGAATCCCTTACGGGATCTAGCCTCTTCTGCCTTTAATTGTCTGACACCAGGGCACCAGTGTTCCCTCTAAGCTGAGTTAGTGTGAGCTAGCTCACAGTTTTTTAGCCTCCGGCTCACACCTTTTTGTCTTAGCTCAGGAAGGAGGGGCTCCAGAGCAAACTAGTGTATGCAGCAGCCAAATTGCTGGCTCACTACTTTAATGCCAGTAGCTCACAAAGTAGAATTTTTGCTCACAAGACTCCACAGCTTAGAGGGAGCATTGCAGGGCACCACTGTAATAGCTGGGAGGGAGTCTGATCGCCACCCCTTAAGGGTTAAATTCAGAGTTTTAATCTTAATAATCTCCCGCAGGGCCTGCGAAACGGAGCTCTTCCACCGGGCTTCCGATTCGGGCGCCACCCTTCCAACGACCAGGCCCTGGCCCCAACACCAACGCCAACTCACAAATATGATCAATATCCTGACAAAACCCAGATGACAGTGGTAGCTGAGCACATGGATGCCGTGAACGCCGCCACCGGCTACGTATTATACTAGCACCCTATGATATGTTTTACTCTGTACTGTTTGTGATTTTATTTAAATAGGGAGTTTTAACTATTTTAACCTATTGTCTGAAAGCTAGTCTGCTTTGGTGGGGAGGGCAGGGGTACAAATTAGAGGAATAAATAAATAATAAATAAACTCACAGGGGATCTCCAGCTTGCTCTCTTCTACCTGCCCTCCAAGTTTGGTGAGGATTGAATTTACAGGCTCCAAGTTATGGCCCACCAAAGAAGGTGCTCCTGGGAAAATGCTTTCTGGGGAAATGACAGGTAACTCTGCTTCTTTTTTCATATTTGGATTACTTGCTAACAGCCACTTGGGCCCTGCCTCAATAGCAAAGGATTTCAGGACTTGTAGCTATGATCTTTTTCTTGCCTTATTTTTTCATTCTTTTTTCTGACTTCTTGCTTCCCTTCTTGAACTTGTTTCAAATTTGGGTGCTGGAAGTCATTTACGAGGGGCCTAGTATTGCATATTGAGTCCTTGCTATTATTGGATAGCTTGAGAGTTGTTACTTCTCCAATTGAACATGTGTATTATTTCTTGTAACCCATTTTATTTGTTTTTCACTCCAGCCAGATCTCAGTGTTCCTTCCAAGCTTGTATTGGTATCTCACTACTTAGTCACAGGCCCTCCTGTCTTCCGCTGTCCTCTGAAGTTTGCTCAACTTCATGTTCGTTGCATCTATGACACTGTCGAACCATCTCATCCTTTGCCGTCCCCTTCTTCTTTGACCTTCAATCTATCCCAGGATCAGAGTCTTCTTCTCCAGTGAGGGCTCCCTTCTCATTGGGTGGCCAAATAAATAGTTTTATGTTAATGCTGTAACCTGCCCTGAGCCCGCTTGCAGGAAGGGTGGGATAGAGATTGAACCAAATAAATAAATACCAGTTCAAAATACCGAGCAGCAGTTCAGCGGTTCGTTTGAGTTCACCATATGCTGAGCTCATGCTGGGGGAGGGCGGGAACAAGGGCGGAGGATCGCGCTATTCGAATCTGTCAGCCACTCCTGGCACCCATGATGTAAACAGTGCCAGGGAGCACTTGAGGCAGGGGAGGCCAATGTTCTTTGATGCCCGCCGGCTCGACCAAAGGCCTGGTGGAACAGCTCCGTTTTACAGGCCCTGTGGAACTGCAACAGTTCCCGCGGGACCCTGATCTCCCTCCGGAGCATGTTCAGCCAGGCCAAGGCTGAAAAGGCCCTGACCTGGTCCGTAGCTAACATGGGGCCCGTGGGGCCTGGCCCCCTAGTGTTTCTTCTGGGCCCCCTCCCTTGGGGTGCCCCCAAAGTGCTCTAACCCCCTGCACTGTACTTTCATTTAATTAGCTGGCAGGCCCCCCGAGGCCAAAGAATTCTCTAGCTACGGGGCTGGCCCTGACCCTGGTTGAGGCAAGGCAGACATCTTTTGGGCCGAGGACGACTAGACGGTGCTGGTCTGAAGAGCGCAAGGCTCTTCAGACCACATACGGGGAGAGACAGTCCCGCACGTACGCTGGTCCCTGGCCGCATAGGGCCTTAAAAGGATAATACCATGAAATCCTGCTTAGACCCCCAGTGGCTCACGCATAGCTATGAAAATAAGCACATGTGCCCTGGCCCTTGAAATTCTGCTTAGACCCCAGTTGCGCATGCACAGCGACAAAAATAAGCACAGATGATGAGAGGACTCCGGAAGCCACAGCCCTGAATCAACTCACCTTAAACGGGTCCAAGTTCCCACTCAGCTCCCCTAATTGTGTGGGATGGGGGAGAGAGAGACAAAGAAGATGCGAGTCAGAAACTCTACGCACTGCCCCCACCCTGCAACCAACTTCATGCCCAAATCCACAGACCAGGACGACCAGGACCCTGGCGTGTGTGATTGCTTTCAAAGGCGACCCTGCTTAGTTCTCATGCGGCCATTGGTCTACCAAGCAACCAGCAGGACTGCCTCTAAATTGTGCATCAGGAAAACCTAAATGCTGCACGCGCACACATTGTGTCCAGTGCACTCTTAAAAGTACTCCTCGCTCCCATAGCAGCACTGGGGGCTTTGCAAAC